TCCTACACGTACATTTTTTCTGTAGTTGCATGCCTTCCTTGACCAACGAATTCTTAGCACGTTTAAAAGACTATTCAAAGTTAATAGATTCCTAGTGAGACTAAAATTTGTCTCGAGGTATAATTTCTCTGAAGTCATCTGATGTAAGTACTTCTCTTCTAGACTGGTGTAAAGAAAGACACGAAACAATCTCAGCATGATTGATGGTCCTTAAAACAAGAGGCTTTAAACGTTGGCAAAGTGTCAAATTTTAGAGAGATTTTTAAGCAGACTCCCAAAATGACTCAGAATATTTTCTTGCAATTCTTTACATTTCTGCCCTGTTTATCAATATATGAGCATTTAATTAAATGTTTGTTTGCTCTATTACTAGATATTTCGGAGACAGCTCCCTTCTGCGTTGAGTTTTCCGAGGGGATATATGAACAGCTGTTGTGTCCTCTTGATCCTGAGCTCTGCAGACTTTCTGAAGCTGAGTTGGCCCACTTGAAATGTTATGAGGACGACGTTATTACCGGCCTTTTAGACCATCATCTTCCACTATCATACAAAAGCGAATGTGTCTTCCAGTTAACCCCTCTTGTAGAGTCAGTGCGCGCACACGTTGCAGGGAGTCACCGATGCCTATCTTATGGTAGTGCAGGAGATTCGTGCCAAGAATTAATTAAAAACGATGGAAATGATAGAGCCGTGTATAATCCGAAAAGAACCACTTTAGATGCAATACCCTACGTGGCATACACTGCTCAGTGTTTGAGTTCAGTACAACGTTGTGTTATAGTTACTGAAATGTGGCAATCGATACACATGCTTACTGGGGTTGCTATCCAATCATTGCCAAACGTTAGCACACATTCAGGAGTTCCCAATATCATTTCTAATGATAGTGGAGATGTTTGGAGAAGGTTGTGGAGAAAGAGAAATGATTTGCGACTATTTTGTAAGAAAGACAATAACGAAATCCCCTTACAGAAAGGCTTTCCATCACAAGCATGTCAAATGCTAGTCTGTAAGTCTGGTATGCTGTACAAACAGCATACAGTCTACCATTTCGCCTGTCTGTCTACCTGTCTCCTGGCCAGCCAGGGCAAAATCCCTTGTCTGAACGGATATTGGTTATCAGTAAGATCCCTTGTTGCCAATTGGTTCAGCCGTCTGAGACAGGAGGCAACAGAAAGACTCAACAGAACACCTCTGCCTGGCACTTGTTTCACAATATCTCCGATGCCATTGTGTCCGTAACTAAGACGAGAAATTAGCTGCTAAATGTTACTTTATAGTTCTAGTAATTTCCCATTTGGTAGAAAAGGCACTTGCTTTAATTGAGCTAGCATATCATGGAATAATAAAATAAAATCTACGCCTTCCTTGATTTGAAAACAATTCTATTCAGGAAAGACCAAAAGGCTATTAATGTTTGCATCCGCCTGAAATGTGCTGAAGTTTCTTCTTACTTGAAGTAAGATCACATACAAGTTCTAAGAGTTCAAAGCCATGCTATAAAATACATGCAAACCCTGGTACGTCGATTCTACATGTAGAAATATCCAGCAGCAACCATCCTGCTCGCTATCAATAGATGCTTTAACTATGTATAATGAGAACATTCAATGACGTGTATTTTGGTATTTATGACATGGCAAAGTTTATGTATAGAATATAAAATAAAATATTTCATACACATTCTTAATTATTTAGTTGTGAACATATTTAAGAATTTTAAGCGCAGAGAAGGATAATCGAAGATATAAGGACAAAGATGGTGTGGCTTCCGATATGGTCACAGTCTCATTTCGATTTATAGAAGTAGATTGACCTCGTTGTCGTAACTTGGTCATGTTGTCAGGGCGACTTAGTCGAAAGCACCTAGTCTGAAGTCATCTGCCATGTTAGTTGTCATAATTCCCAGCATCGGACAGCGGATTTGGTACATTCTCAAACGTAGATGTCTCTTTGACGAGTTTATAGCTCGGTGCTTAAAATGGTAGAACTCATTGATAATGCCGACTACGACGCCGGCGAAATGTTTGAGAATGTACCAAGTCCACTGTCTGATGCTAGGAATTATGAGAACTACTATGTCAGACGACTTCGGACTAGGTGGGTTCTACTCAGTGAATATGAACATTTTTGTGATACTAAATGGCTTATCACTAGCTACCTCCTTGTCTCCACTAACTCGCGACTTATTTAACGATGAATATGGAAGTAAATTCAAAATCAAATGAGATAAAATTTAATAGTTTAATAATTTATTACAAAATATCATTCGAATACAACTCTCTTCCCATATACATATATATATTGTACAACTAAAGGTCAAACAATTCTTGAGGTTGCAGTGAAGTACAGCAAAAGGGATCATTTGATATGCTTCTATATCTTTTATAAATACAATAAATGGATATGCCCACCCCGACTATGGCAAAACAGAAAAAAGACAAAAGAAGAAAAATGTACTTAGAAGAATCCCTGAAATAAAAAAAAGAATATAAATAGTTTTACACAACATTTAACATAAT